TTTTTTTTAAATCTTTATTATTCTGTATGAGTTTATTCAGGCCATACTCTGCTTGGAACAGTTAGTTCAAACAGGAAGCACTATCTTAAAATGAAGTCCTTAATATGCCTAAGAAAAGCCCTGTTGAATTGGAACAAGAGCCTATGTAGCCCAGCAGCATCTTTCTCCCGTAAATGCAACAACAGGACTTAAGCATAATCTGAATAAGAGAGGCTAAGCTCTATTCTCTAACTAATTGCTCCAATGATTACCTTGTTTCCTTTTTAAAAATCTTTCTGACACTCAGGAGAATTCTTACAGAAGCCAGGGTGCAGTTGCATGCAGATGCAATGTTATCTGTTAAACTGTGAGCAAAGGCTGCCTTCAAGAGGGAAACTTGTCCTTCAATAAGTGTACAGTGGCTTGCAGTCTATGGGTATTTAAAACTGTTAACCCTCTAGCAAGCCTCCCTCACCCCGATTGTGATTTCATCTTCACACCTGTTTTCTTTAAATAACTGTGCACTGGAAAACATCATTTTCAAAATGGGAATATCTCAGATGAACCTAGAGGTGAATCAGGAAATAAAATTATTCAAAAGACATACTTTTGTCCTTTAGCAGTTGTATGCATTATATTTATTTTCTTTAAGAAACTGTATTAAATATTGTATTCTTTATTTATCATACATTAAAGAGAAACTGCCTTCAGTTTTACTTTTATATAAACTGGCTGAGATGTAACAGTGTGCTTCATAACCTATGCTAGCAGAATTGACATCTCCTTTCTTCCTCCTGTTGCTGCCTTCTCTGCCAGTGTCAAAAAACTGTTTTAGAGACTTTCTCAGCCATCCAGAGGAAGTTGGAGGCGGGGAGAGCACAGGAGGGACCTGGAGTTGCTGATGGAAACCCAGTGAGATCCTGGCACTCAGCAAGAGGGATTTAGGGCCTTTGCAGACTGCTAGAAATAGTGCAAATTGAGTCCACTTTAAAGGTTAGGGTTAGGGAATCATGGGAACTGTATTTTATTGTGGCACCAGAGCTCTCTGATAGAGAAGGCTCAATGTCTCAGAAAAAAACAACAATTCCCATGATTCCCTAGCACCAACCCTAACCCTTAAAGTGGACTAAATTTGCACTATTTCTGGCAGTGTGTAAAGGCCCTTAGTGGAAACAGTGGGATCCATTAGAAGCACCTCACTGGATCTTAGCCACAACTCTGTCATTGCTATATTTCATTATTTGTGCGTGTGTGTGTATGCAAATATATCCATCCTATATAGCTCATTATGATAGGCATGGGCATGATTATTGTAGCATTTTCTTTCACCTTTTCACTAAGTTCTTCCACTTACTATAATTGCAAACCATTTTTAAAAGCAGTTACATTACTTTTTCTTTTCTTTTTTTCTTTCTTTTTTTTTTTTTTGGTAGGAAAATAGAAGAGGAGTGCATGAAAAATCTCAGTTCTTTGCTAATAAAAAAAATTGATTGGGCCAGAATACTTAACAGTAATAATAATAATAATAATAAAATAATAAAATTTATTTATACCCCGCCCATTGGTAATCCAATCCGGGCGGCTTACAATTAACAGTAGACCCACTGAAATATGTGAGGCTTGAACTGGTCACAATTATCTTAAATCCTGTTTATTTCATAGGGCATGAATCCAACACGGTGTCTTTTGAGATAATAATAATAATAATAAAATAAAAATAAAATTATTTGAGATATGCAAAAATATGTTTCTTTTTTGTTGCTGTTCAGATTGTTCTGTAGAACTAATAACTGGTTTAGTTAATAGCTCTTGTAGGGTTTTTTTTTTTTATTAATTTGCATCTTCATAAAGAATGCAATGTACCATTCAGCTAACTCTTCCTAACCCTAATAATATTCAAATTATTGCAAATTTTGAATTTAAAATGTTATTTTTCTTATTTACGTGAACAGTGTAATGCTTCAATAAGATCTAGAGTCAGCATAAATTTGAGCAAATATTTTCTAGAATGGAATGTATAATTTTTTACATATTTTTTCAAAGTTCTGTAAAGTATATGGTTATTTAAAATTTTATGAGATTAAGAATACTATTTAAAGAGAACCTTTTCTTGGAATAGACTTACTTCCAAGTAAACATGCTTGAGAGAGAGCCAATATGATGTAGTGGTTTGAGCTTGGACTATGACTCTGAAGATCAAGGTCCATTTCTCTACTCAGCCATGGAAATCCATTGGATGACCTCGGCCAAGTCACATGCTCTCAGACCCAGAAAACCCCATGATAGGGGTTGTGGGGTTACCATGTTGGAAACAAGTTGAATGCACACAACAACAAAATTATGCTTAAGAATTTTTTAACTTCAGAATTTATAGTTGATAACAATTTTACAGAGAGCCAGTGAGTGTAGTGGTTTGAGCATTGGACTATGACTCTGGAGAACAGGGTTCAAATCCCCACTGTGTCATCTTGGGCAAGTCACAGTATCTCAGCTGCCGAAGATGGCAATGGCAAACCCCCTCTGAAGAAACTTGCCAAGAAGACCCTATGACAAGCCTTGGGGTTGCCATAAATTTGAAATGACTTGAAGGCAAAACAACACAACACAGCAATCTTTTGTGGCATTAATTATTTCATTAATCCAGGGTTGACTCAGCCTTGCATCCCTCCGTAGGTCACTAAAATGAGTACCCAGCTTGTTGGGGACAATTATCTTACACATTGTAAACCACTTAGAGACTACGGTATATAGTTCAGTATGAAGTGATACATAAATGTAAATGCTATTGCTATTGCTAATTTCATGCAGAATTAAGTGTACTTACACCTGTTGATTTCCATGGGATTAAATGTGTTTAACTCTGTATTTGGATTAAAATATAGATAAATTCAGTAGTGAAGAGGCCCATCAAATGAATCTGAAAAATGAAAATGGGAAAGACTAAACAGTTCACTAAGCAGATAAATTCTCTACTGTATTCCCTCCTAGTACCCATTTGCACTCCCACAACTGGATTTCCTCAGAAATAAGTGCCTCAGCAATCAGACTTGCAAATTAATTCTTTGTTTACCTTCCAGTGATCAATCACAAAACCAAGTATGATAAACAGAGGGAATATAGTTCAGAAAAATCACATGCTACAACAAACAGAATTGTATTTTTCAGATGCATTCTGAAAAATGTATGCTTAATGTATTGTCTAGTTTGACCAAAGTGTTGTGTATATATCCTTGTATGTATCCTTACTGGATTTATCATTTCTGAAAAAGAGTTACATCAACACTTCTGTAAAGAAACTCTCACCCTCTGTGAAATATATTTTGTGAGTGTGTTATGCTGCTTGTCACACATATCAGAGGACAATCCAATAGAGGCCTGCAATATTCATACAGCCATTTGACATCAGTGGTTGAAGAGAAAATTGTTTGCCCCACCCAATAATTGCTGTTTGAGAAACAAGGAAATGCAATATACCCATAACAGACACTCTGTTTTTAGGGAAAATGTCTGGCTCTGTATTTGAGTAGTCTAAAATTATATTCTAGAAAGACTTCCAAGTCAAGACAGCTAGACATTTATATGCTGAGTGCCTCATCACAAAGTGTATACAGCCATCTATAAATGTCCATTGCTGGAAGTGGGAATAGTTCTGATCCTTCTACTCAGGTTGGGATCCTTGTTTTGTTTTTTAATTGCAGCTATATTATATTTGTACTTTGATTATGAAGATGAATTTTCCATCTGTTATTGATCAATAAAACATTTTTGATAGCTGGGAATGTCTCACACTTTATTCACGTCTTCACTTTCTGCTTCTTTGGCAGTTTTGCAGATACAAACTTGAAGTGAATGAGCACAGTTTCATTGGGTCGCGCTATTTTGTTGCTATTCTGCACATTCAGTTTACTGAAATTGAGATAGACTTTGGGAATTGGCTTTCTCTCAGACTTTAGAAACTATATTCAAAAAAGTAATTAAAATTTCTGAGGCCCTGACATAGTACCACTCCAGATGCAGATTTTAAAATAACTTTATTCAGCTGTATATTTTTGAATATTATTCAAGAGAATACGATTTATTCATTTTTCAAAAGTGACTGAAATAGGTACTTCTGGGTATGTTTTTTAAATAGTTAAAATAGAGAACTTTATTCTTTATTATTACGGCCATTCGGCCAGCACAAAAATAGAGAATCGTCATGGCATAGTTGTCTCAGTCTTGGACTAGGAGATGAAGGTTTGAATCCCTGCTCAGCTATGGAAACCAACTGGACGAACTTGGACAAGACACACTCTCAGCCTTACAAGAAGGCAGTAGCAAACATTATTCCCAGGAAAACTCAATGATAGGTTTGCCATTAAGTCAAGGTCAACTTGAAGGCACATAACAAAGTTATTTTTAAGTTATTTTTTAAAAAAAATCAAAGTCCCACAAACCATTGGCCTGTTTCAAAGCACGCATGGAGGAAGGCCACGCACCCATAACTAAAACAGTTGCAGTTACACTGCAAAAGAGGTGAAATTATTCCTCATGTTGCATTTGTAATATAATGATGGCTTCATTGTCACCCCCTCTTCAACGGTTTCAGTTGTAACTAGTTACTGCCATGGAGATTACTTCTGAGAGAAATACATTTATGGGGATGAAGTAGTACAAACAGAGCAAGAAAGTACTATATTTGTTATTAATTTGAGGAATTTTTATATTACTTCTACATCTCTAATATGGCCCTGATAGTTTATATGGCAGACCAAGGGTGATAAGCCCTCCATAGCTCCTGTCTACAGGATGTGTAGCATTTTAGAGCAGGGGTGGGCAACTGTGGAAGACCTTGGAGAGCCACAGTTCCCACCCATGCTTGCTCCTGCAAAAATAAAATTCAGTATTTTACCCCCAAATGTCCCCAAACACACTCTAGGAGACATAGGAGGCATTCTCACAATGAGTTTAGAGAGCACCTCAGGCAAAAAATAAAAAAAATCCAGAATTTGTTTTCACTCTTACAGAATCCAAATGGCCTCCACATGTTGATGAAATGTTTTCCATAACTCCACTTAGGATCATTTTGAAGCATAATAAGTTAAGTTAAAAATTGCATATAGGCCACACTTTGCTCTCACCTGTTTTAGAGGTAAGGCAGCCTTTAACAGCATCTTGAGCTACGACTGGGAAGGGCATGCACTGGGAGTTGGGGATGGGAATGTTTAATTCCAAAACCATGGCCCATGGAGGTTTCTTCCAACCATTTTCTTAAACTTGCAGGAGATTCAGGGGACTCAAGGGCTGCAAGGTATACATGCGCACGAAAACACCCAATGGTGCACGGAGCCCACAGACCACACAATTCCCACCTTAATTTACAGTAACAAGCAAATGCTAGTTTTTCTTCATATTGTCAAAAACTGGATTTCCTAATTGCAGATGAAGCCACAAGAGAAATTGCACAGCTATAAAAGCCAATCTAACACTTGGCAACCCTTGTCTCCCCTTCCTTCTGCCAATGCTGGCCTACAGCACCTACTAACACTGTCTCATTTTAAGACCTAAACTTGCTTTTCTTCTAGCAAGAGGTGAGATGGACAGGGATTAGCTGCTGAACATGCTGCTATCTCCTTCCTTCAGTTCTCATTGTATTTACCTGGAAGAGGACCACAAAAGGCAGGCTTGCACCTGAGAACCAATGGAGCGAGAATAAATCCTGATGCACTGTCCACTTGCCTTTCAGCACTGTTAGTCTATTATGGCAGACCAAGGGTGACCAAGACTACAAGATTTGAATAACTGCTTCTGACAATACTTGGAAATTACTGTTTTATAGGAGTTTTAAGCGATAAAGGCCCCTGAGTCTCTGCGCATGACAGTCCTACATTTTTATTGCCACTATCCTTATTTTTCCCATATTTACTTACGCTGCTCTTCGTGTTATCTGCATTTCCACACTTCCTTCATTATTCCTCACTTTGCCTATCTCCTATGTGCTGTTTCCCCATATCTAGCCAGAGTTTCCCATTCAGCTCCTTCCACTTCCTTTGCGTGGGTACTTGAGGCCAGTTATAACAACCATCTCAATATCAGGAAATGATAATTTAGTGCACACTAATAATTTGGAGTTGAGGCATGCCCAATAAAACCTCTTGCTTTTTCCCATTTGAACCACAAACTGCTGAGTTTTATCACAAGCATTTTTTAAAAAGAAAAGTCTCCTCTGTTTCACAAATAGTTTGCTTTGTTGGAGGGATAGTTGCTTTTTCAGAGGGCAGAGTGATGTTATGGTGCTGCACCGAGAAATGGATGGACAAGGTTGAAGTCCCTAGTGAACCATGAAATTCACTGGGAGACCTTGGGCAGGACATTCTCTCTCATCTCACAGGGATTTTGTGAGAATAAAATGGGAACAGGACAGTCAAGAATCCCATCTTGAGCTCGTTGGAGGAAAGGTGGGAGACAAATGCAACTTACAAATAAGTAAAAAAAAAAAATAGGAGTGCTGTGCAAGGAAATGTAATGGGGCACCAGATGTAGAAATGTAAATTCCTGTTTTCTTGTAATACCAGTACAGTGGGCCCTTGGTATCTGCAGGGGTTTGATTCCAGGACCCCCATGAATACCTAATTTGTGGATGCTCAAGTCCCATTAGAAACAGTGGCACAGTAAAACTGGAAAATCAAGGTTTGCTTTTTGGAATATTTTTTTTGTTGAGTGTTGTCAATCCATGGATGCAGAATCCATGGATATGGAGGCCCAATTGTTTTGGGAATTTGTAATGTTCAAAGAAGTGTTATGCCCCTGTGAGTTCATTTCCCCCTCGGTATCATTGTTTGAGTTGAAACAGAACTCTGCTATCCATGTTTTCTTTCTCCCATTTATAAGTCTGGTCTCACAGTGCTTTTTGTATAAATGTGAGATCATAGCATTAAGTTAGAATTATATTGTCTTTTATATACCTGACATACACTAAGGAGTTTAGCACACAGCTAAAAAAGGAGACATACCGCTGCTGAATTCAATCTTAATTTGGGCTGCATCTGGGTATTATCAGACACATTTTACCGTCAGTGCCACTGATCAGGTGTAGCCCAGGTAGAATCCTGGCTCAGCCGGCCTCTTTTCAAAACCAGCTTTGCAAATCGGCTTGCTGAGTCCTGGCCAGTGGCATAGGCAGTAAAATACATCTGATAATGCCCGAATGCAGCCTGAATTAGGAGTGAATTCAGCAGTGATATGTCACTTTTTTAGCTGTGTGCTAAACTCCTAACAGCTAAGGACTGCTCAGTACTGGGCAAGTGTTTCAACAGCAAAATAAAATAAAATAAAAATAACATGTGAATAATAAAGCAATTTGAGCATTTATTACTCACTTTGGGACCACTGTTCATTATAATGCCAATCTCTTTGCAGAAGTGTGTAAGTTAGAACATGAGGTGAATATTGCTTCCTATGGCTGCCTTTATTAGCACTGAGCCCCA